GCTGGAGACCGTGATAGCGACCGCCGGATAGCGACCGGCCACGTTGACTGCGCGACAGCGATGGGATGAAAGAGACAACGCATAACAGAGATGACGTCCGCTAGGCGACGAACCTCGATCAGAGAAACTTTGACTATGTGTATTGTATCCCCTATAAAAGGGGAGAGACCCCTCATTGTAATGGATCCAAGTTTAGAACAAATAAACTCCTACTTTGCATTCTCTCTCTCTAAAACTTATATTATTCTTTGTTCTCGGTGGTTTATCGCCATCAAATTGGTGCTCTCATTGAGAGAAGAGAAACATACTCGTAGGTTAACTCCCGAACGCGAGAATGGTGCAAACAAGGAGCAACGTCCCCACCACCAGCCACGTCGTTGGCGAAGAGAACGCGCCGGGCAGCGGCAATGGTACGGGCGGCATCGGTTCGACTCCGGACGCGGTCCAGGCGCTTTTCGGCTTGGGGGTGACCGCGGAGCAGCTCCAGGCAGCTGTTGCGGCACTTTCCGCCAAGGGTGGGAACGTGCCCGGCGCCGGAGTTGGCAAAGCTCCGTCCAATCTCCATGCCGAACACGCTGCCACTTCCCAACACAAGGGGAAGAAGACCTGGAGGAGTAGAAGGAGGCCCGGCAAGGCCCCGACAATCGAGGAGGTGATTGTGGAGGACGTCCCGGATGAGGAGGACGATGAGTCCAGCGAGTGCCGAGTGTCAGCCTTCAGACGCTTAGGAGGGGAAGAGACTCGGGTGTCGGCATTCGACAGGCTCGAACGCGGACCGGAAGTTCGCCCGGGCGACCTCCGCCGACAAATAGCCGAAGGCAGGCGGAGGCATGCTGAGGAGTCTGCAACATCGGATGCTCGCTCGGCGAGGTCCGAGCGGAGCGGAGAGAGGCGGGAGGAGCGCACCCAGCGTCGCCATAGCCCGACGAGAACTGAGAAGACAAAGGTCTCTGACCAAGGAGTGTCTCGGCTCGCACGTGAGGTTGCCGAGCTTAAGCGCCGAGTGGAGACCAGGGCTCCCTACAGCCAGCCCATCTTGCGGA